TGACGAGTTTTAGAAGAACTTGCAGAGCAAGTTTTGAACTCTGATCGAGTTGATAACTCTGACGAGTTTTAGAAGAACTTGCAGAGCAAGTTTTGAACTCTGATCGAGTTGATAACTCTGACGAGTTTTAGAAGAACTTGCAGAGCAAGTTTTGAACTCTGATCGAGTTGATAACTCTGACGAGTTTTAGAAGAACTTGCAGAGCAAGTTTTGAACTCTGATCGAGTTGATAACTCTGACGAGTTTTAGAAGAACTTGCAGAGCAAGTTTTGAACTCTGATCGAGTTGATAACTCTGAACGAGTTTGAACTCTTGAAAAAGAGTTGATTTGAACCGAAAGTCGGTTATAAGCCAAGGGAATGCTCCTGTGGTCGATCGTTGCTGAGGATGAACGTCGATCGCCCCCTTGCTGCCCAAAAAGAAGGATCCCAGAGCCCAGAGCCAAAAGCCAGCCAAAAAGGAGCGCCCGAACTCAGTTGAGTTTCCCACTATTTATAGGGGGTTTAGGGGTGGCAACTGCCCCCTTAATTAGCTCCTCCATGGGCTGAGTGGGGTGTAACCACCCCCTCTTAAACAGCTCCCGAAATAGTGGGGAAAACGGTTTTGAAACCGTTCTGTTAGTGCTTTGAACGAGTCAAAACGCTGAAAACAGCGTTCTGGGCCTTAACTCTGCGTCTTATTGATGAGACGCAGAGTTGGGCGCTTGTTGGGAGTTGAAAACGCAAGGGCCGCTTGCGTTCGGACCTTAACTCTGCGTCTTAAAGATGAGACGCAGAGTTGGGCGCTCGCTGGGAGTCGAAACGCACAGGCCGCATGCGTTTTAGAGATGAACTCTGCGTTTTAGGCTAAAAACGCAGAGTTGGGCCTGTTTAAAGGCTGAAAACGCACAGTTGTGCTGTTTTAGAGATTAACTCTGCGTTTCTAGACTGAAAACGCAGAGTTGAGCCTGTTTAAAGGCTGAAAACGCACAGTTGTGCTGTTTTAGAGATTAACTCTGCGTTTCTAGACTGAAAACGCAGAGTTGAGCCTGTTTAAAGGCTGAAAATGCACAGTTGTGCTGTTTTAGAGATTAACTCTGCGTTTCTAGATTGAAAACGCAGAGTTGAGCCTGTTTAAAGGCTGAAAACGCACAGTTGTGCTGTTTTAGCGATTAACTCTGCGTTTTGATGTTGAAAACGCAGAGTTGAGCATGTGCGCTTTGACTCTGTAATGCAGAGGCGAACCTTAGGCGGGCTTGGCGGGCTTCAGGCTAAGTCCAATGTTCTGATGAAGTCCAGTCTTGCAGACGGACCTCAGAACATAATTTGCTGCGAAGAACAGGTCATAACTTTCAAACCGTAAGTCGGAATTAGACGAATTATATATGAAAATCGGCTATCTCGACGAGACGGGGCCATCCGAACCAAGCCGAAGGCTTCGGTTCGCTTCCTCCGTTTGGCCAAATTCCTTACGGTTTGAGAGATATCTGCATTCTAATATGAAGAGACCGTCAATTTGTAGTCTCTTTTGCTAGAGCTTTGCACAGATCGTCCTCTTGTAATCTTTGTCTTGGCTCCTTGAAAATATGAGAGTCGTCAGATTGTAACTCCCGATGTTGATTGTGAAGGCTATTGAATTGGAGTTTTCATCAGTTGTCGTGAAGGTCCTCAAATTGTAGCCTACTGGAAGTCGTCAGATTGTAACTTCCATCATCGGTGTTTGATGGGGGATAAGCTATCTATTGTGATTTTTAGACAGCCTACATTTATACCTGAACCTGACTGTTTTTTATGCAGTTTTTCGATATGAGCTCTCTACAGACAACAATACTCCAGGGGTGCCTACTGCCTACTCAACAATGGTTACCTCAGAGTTCCAACATCCAAGGTAAGTGCTTTGTTTGCAATAACTGTTGCTTCATAATTCTTAGCATTTGTATCAAAATTTTGGCTTTCCGTTTACCTTATCACAGTGAACATTTACAATTTTCCAGGTGTACCATACGTGGAAACTCAAGAACCTAGTTCTATGTTCTCGTAAGTTGCTTCCAGAAGCTTATTTGATTCATACTTGATTTATGCCTTCATCTCTTGAATGGTTTATAGTGATATTATCAGAAACGTACAAGGCACTAGCACATCTCGTCATGGGAATCCATTTGTGTAGACAGATATCGGCCAATGCAACGTGACCGCTGCTAGTGATACCATGGATGCTTGCAAGTTTTGATAGTGCACTGACAAAACCTGTTGTTCCCTTCTTTCTTGTCATGAGGTTACGAGCAAATGCAAGTTTTGATAGTGCACTGACAAAACCTGTTGTTCCCTTCTTTCTTGTCATGAGGTTACGAGCAAAATTGAATATTTAAACAATTGTTCTCTTCTTTCTTTTCTTTCACATTTTCCTCTCTTTTCATTGTGTTTCTTTTTTTCCTTCATAGATTACAAGCAAACTGGAATATGTAAACATGTCTTTGAGTGTTGACTTAGAAATGGAAATGAATGTAACTATTTTGCAGTGGGAGCAAATTTTTTGTTTATCATAATATGCAACTTGTTTGAAGTATAATTTGATGTCTGGCTTCTTTGTTGATGTGAATGAGAGCAAATTTTTTGTGGATGTTCAGGTTCAATGTTCAGGTTCAGTGTAGGCTAAAAAGCGTCACTAAAAGTAACACTTTTGCTGACGCTATATTGCGTCGCCAAAGATATAGTTTTTAGCGACGCTTCATTCTGCGTCGTTAAAAGCTACACTTTCACCGACGCTAACTTGCGTCGCCAAAAGTATAATTTTTAGCGACGAACAGTTTTGCGTCGCTAAAAGCTAT